ACAGCAGCTTTATTAACTATCAACAAAAACTGAAAACAACCCAAATGTCCCACAATGGGTGAATGGGTAAACAAACTGTGGTCCATTCATACAATAAAATGATGTACAGCAATAAAAAGGAAAGAACTACAGATACACTCAATAATATGGGTGAATCTAAAAGGCATTGTGGTGAGTTTAAGAAACCATACTCTACAAGTCCCTTACTGAATGACTTAATTTATTTTTTTTTAATTTACAATGTTTATTTTATTTTATTTTTTTATCATGCTTTTTTTTATTCTAAAAGTATTTTAAAACATTCAGCTTAAAATAGACTATTATAATTCTAAGACATTTATGTAAACCCCATGATAACCACAAAGAAAAACCCATAGTAGATAGGCAAAAGAGAAAGAGAAAGGAATCTAAGCGAACCACTGCAGAAAATCGTCAAATCACAAAGAGAACAAGAGAAGGAACAAACAACTGCAAACAGCCAGAAAACAATAAGTTGCATTAAGTCCACTAATTGTCAGAAAAATGCACATTAAAATCACAATGAGATTATCACCTCACACCTGTCGGAATGACTATCATCAATAAATCCACATAGAGATTTATGAGGATGATCACTTAGTAATCACTGGGGTATACACCTGAAACTAATATAATATTGTATGTCAACTGTAATTGAAAAATAAAAAGTAATTTTTTAAAAAGACAATATAATAAAAGGGAAAAAATAGATAAATAAGTCCACAAACAACAAGTGTTGGCGAGGATGTGGAGAAAGGGGAACCCTTGTGCACTGTTGGTGGGAATGCAGATTGGTGCAGCCACTGTGGAAAACAACAGTGTGGAGTTTCCTCAAAAAATTTAAAATGGAACTGCCTTTTGACCTAGCAATTCCACTTCTGTGGATTTATCCAAAGAAACCCAAAACACTAATTCAAAAGAATATATGTACCCCTATGCTCATTGCAGCAGTATTTACAATAGCCAAGATCTGTAAGCAACCCAAGTGCCCATCAATAGATAAGTGATTTTAAAAAAAAGTGATAGTACATATATACAATAGGTTACTTGACCATAAAAAGAATGAAATCTTATCATTTGTGATAGCATGGATGTACCTAAAGGGTATTATGCTAAATGAAAGAATAATACCATATGATTTCACTTATACGTGGAATCTAAAAAACAAAATAAGCAAACAAAATTGAAACAAACTCACAGACACAGAGAGCCAACTGGTGGTTACCAGAGGGAGACTGGGTCAAAGATGTGAAAGGATTAAGAAGTACAAATTGGTAATTATACAATAGTCACAGGGATGTAAAGTACAGCATGGAAATACAGTCAAATAATATTGTGATAACTATGTATGGTGCCAGGTGGGTACTGGAAATATTGGGGTGGGGAACACTTTGAAAAATATATCTTTGTCTAACCACTATGCTGTACACCTGAAACCAACACAAAATAATATTGAAAGTAAACTGATTGAAAGATAAAATAAAATAATAATAAATGGGCAGAGGAACTGAATAAACATTTTTCCAAATAAGACACCCAAATGGCCAATATACATGAAAAGATGCTCAAAATCACTTATCATCAGAGAAAGAAAAATCAAAGTCACAATGAGATATCACCCCATACCTGTCAGAAAGGCTATTTTCAAAAAGGCTAGATATAACAACTGTTGGTGAGGATGTGAGTAAAGAAAACCCTTGTGCACTGTTAGTGAGACTGTAAACTGGTTCTGCCAATATGAAAAACAGTATGGCGTTTCCTTTCAAAATTAAAAATAGAACTACCATATAATCCAGCAATTCCACTTCTAGGTATTTATCCAAAGCAAACAAAATCACTATTGCAAAATATATCTGCACCTCCATGGTCACTGCAGCATTATTTACAATAACAAAAAAAATCAAAGTCACAATGAGATATCACCCCATACCTGTCAGAAAGGCTATTTTCAAAAAGGCTAGATATAACAACTGTTGGTGAGGATGTGAGTAAAGAAAACCCTTGTGCACTGTTAGTGAGACTGTAAACTGGTTCTGCCAATATGAAAAACAGTATGGAGTTTCCTTTCAAAATTAAAAATAGAACTACCATATAATCCAGCAATTCCACTTCTAGGTATTTATCCAAAGGAAACAAAATCACTATTGCAAAATATATCTGCACCTCCATGGTCACTGCAGCATTATTTACAATAACCAAGACATAGAAACAACCTAAGTGTCTACTGACGGATGAATGGATAGTTTTAATTGATAACACACATACACACACAGGAACTTATTCATCCATAAAGAAGAATGAAATCATGCCATTTGCAACAACATGGATGAACCTTGAGGGCATTATACTAAGTGAAATAAGCCAGACAGAGAAAGACAAATACTATATGTTCTTAATTATATGTGGTATCTAAAAAAATTGAACTCATAGATTCAGAGAACAGATAGGTGCTTGCCAGAGGTAGGGTTTCAGGTGAAGGGTGGAGAGGAGAGGGGGTGATGAGTGAATGGGTGATGGTCTACAACAGCGGTTGCCAACCGGTGGTCCACAGACCACTGATGATCCGTGAGGTCCGAAAGGTTGGCAATCACTGGTTTAAGGAAACCTTTGGTGCAGTGGTGACTAACGGGTGGTCCGCGAACCACTAGTGGTCCGTGAAGTCTGAAAGGTTGGCAACCGCTGATCTAAAGGTACAAATTTCCAGTTATAAGATAAATAGGCCCTAGGGCTGTAAAGTACAGCATGGTCATTAGCTAACGACACTGTATGGTATATTTGAACATAGCTAAGAAAGTAAATCTTAAAAGTTCTTATCACAAGAAAAAAATTGTATCTATATGAGGTGATAGATGGTACCAAAACTTTCAGTGATCATCAATTCACAACATATACATACATATATATCAAATAATTATATTGTATACCTGTTTATATCTCATTTTAAAAAACATACTTTCTTTCTCTGTTTACTTTGGGTTTAATGTGCTCTACTTTTCAGTTCTTAAGGTGGAAATTGAGGTCATTGATTTGAAAATGTTCTTTTCAAATCAGGCATTTAGTGCCATAAACTTCCTCCAGTGTATTGTTTCAGTGGCACAAACTTGACATGTGCTTTCATTTTCATTCAGTTCAAAATATTTTCTAAGTTCCCTTTTCAATTTGTCTTTGATCTATGGGTTATTTAAAAGTATATTATTTAGTTTCCAAATATTTGGGGATTTTTCAAGAATTTTCCTGTTATTGCTTTCCAGTTTAATTCCACTGTGATCAGAGAATATGTTTTGTATGACTTAAATCCTTTTAAATGTACTAGTACTGGTTTCATGGCCCAAAATATGGTCTATCTTGATTTTCAGCCTGTTTGTACTATCAATGATTTTTTTTAAAATACCATAGGGGTTTATGAAAAGTCAGAGTGTATAAGCGATGGGCCCTCCATCACTCCCTCAGCCCACAACACCCACCATGAGAGGACAGCCAGCATGCACTCCTGCTCACAGTGTGAATTCTGAACTGCTCTCCCCAGTTGTTCTATATAATCGTGTCCCACATAGCAAACACATAGCCACAGGCATCCATTTGTTCTCCATTTTCTCTTCATCTTGCCCTTTAAGTTTGACAGTCAGTTCTGCACACCCACGGTTCTGATGACCCACCCTGGCCACATCACATGTAGCTATTGCAAGTAAACACAGCAGCCTTTCCCCAGCCCCGCAGGCTGGAACCAAACAAAAGGGAGAGGAATTTCTGATTGGAAGGTTTCTACTGTGGTTGTGAATTCTTTATAGTCAATTCAGCAAATGTTGGTCAAGCAAGTGTTTACCGTGTACAAGGCATGGTTCAGAACTTATGGTTTAATCTTGGGCCAGCGAGTGGGGATTGATGTATTCAGAGAGGGCGGTTTGGAGGGTAAGAGGAAGGAGAAAAGACCTAGTGTTGATGACAAAGGGAGCCCAACTTCCATAAAAAGGAAACAACCGCATTCCCTGAAGAAGAACATAGCAGAGGTTGATGGCCTCTCTATGTTTTGGGTCAAGGCAGTTCCCTGGCAGATGGGAATTCTAAGTCTTCTCCACAGAATAACCTTAGAGATCCCCTCTTTGCTTTCATCACAGTAAATCAGTGAAAATTCTGCCCATTTCTTACCTCAAGATTATTCAATAGAATTGATACACAAAAAGCAACTGTTTCTAAGTTCACCTCTTAGCAGGAGTCCCGAGTCTTGGAAGTAGGACTGTTTGTTTTAAGCAGCCATGCGCCAATACATAACAGCTCATAGAGCAGTGGTTCTCAACCTTCTGGCCCTTTAAATACAGTTTCTCATGTTGTGACCCAACCATAAAATTATTTTCGTTGCTACTTCATAACTGTAATGTTGCTACTGTTATGAATAGTAATGTAAATATCTGATATGCAGGGTGGTCTTAGGCGACCCCTGTGAAAGGGTCGTTCGACCACCAAAGGGGTCGCGACCCACAGGTTGAGAACTGCTGTCATAGAGCCTTAGTCCCTAAGTTCAATTGGAGGAAGCACAGGGGTCTGAAGAGCACAGCATACTAGAAACATCTTAATGCTTTCTTTATAGGTCAGAACATCAAAGATTTAGCTGTCCCAGAACCAACACAGAATAATCACACTCTTTATTTCTCTCCATTTTCCATTTTGCTTTTCTTCACAGTCTGGGGAGAAGGGGAGTCCTTAACATGCCCAAGGGAATGGGGACCCCTTTACATTCAGATGACCCCTTTTACTGATTGGAAAAGATTACGTAGCAGGACACAATGTGTCCACAAGGTCCTCCTAGGAGCTTGACCTGGAGCCAAATGAGGAGGTGAGGGTGAGCCCTGCTTCCCGAGCACCCTTCAGAAGGCAATCAAAACCCCCCTGTTCCCCAGCAGTCACGCCAGCCGATTCTCCATTCTACTCTGTGTAGCTGTTTCTCAATAGCTATTAGTGTAAGAAGGCTTAAAGGCCTACCTTGGAGGTATTGGGGGTTCAGTTCCAGACATCGCAATGAAGCAATCTGTAATCGTTGCTGGTGGAGGGTCTTGCCTTCAATTTGTAAAAAAAAAAAGTAGTATCTGTGAAGCACAATAAAACAAGGTGTGCCTGTGTATCATTCAATTCTAACTTCCTCTCTAGCTACAAAACAGTCTATGGCAGTGGTTCTCAACCTTCCTAATGCCGCGACCCTTTAATACAGTTCCTCATGTTCCCCAACCATAAAATTATTTTCGTTGCTACTTCATAACTGTAATGTTCCCAGAATTCAAACAAAAAAATTTGCCAATGTCTGTCTCCCTGCGGAATGCTGCCTGTTCTGGTCCAGAGAGAGATACTGGTTAGAGCTGGATTTTACAAGCCAGCTTCTAGTTTATCCCCTTCATATTAGCAGAATAGTGAAGAACATCTTTGAACATTAGGTTTCTATGTCAAATTCATAAATAGCAAGTATATCTATAAGATGTTGATTTTAAAAACTGGCATGGCCTCTGTTACATGAAAGAGAAAATAATTATATGATGGGAGTGAGGAAGTTTAGAAGATGGAGAAAGGGTTCATTAACAGTAATATAAAGAATCACATTTTTTATCAAAAATGTTGGCAATCATCCATCCCTTGATACTGCTAATTTTGCTATAACATTGGCAGGCATGAGTTAACACACAAAATAATTAGCATTGGAACGTTGTCAGGATACAATCAGGAAGCAGTCCTAGAAGTAGGAACCACTTGTTTACCTGGGAGAATTTCTTTGGATACATAAGAAGCTGGTAACAGTGGTCACCTCCAGGGGACAGCACTAGGGGTTTAGGGAAATGTGGATTCTAGGAAGGGAAGTTTTTACTTTTCATTTTATAAACTTCTGAACTGCTTCATGTTGACCGTGAATTAATTTTCTTATTAAAAGAGCAATGAGGGCCCTGGCCACGTGGCTCAGTTGGTTGGAGCATTGTCCTTTGCACCACAAGGTTGTGGGTTCGATTCCCCATCAGGGCACATAATTAGATTGCAGGTTTGATCCCAGGCCCCAGTCAGGGCGCGTTTGGGAGGCAACCAATCAATGTCTCCTTCTCTCCTCCTCACCTCCTCCCCACCTCTTTTCCTCCCTCTCCTCCTTCCACTCTCTCTGAAAATTCAATGGGAAAAATATTCTTGGGTGAGAATTAACCAAAAAATAAAATAAAATAGCAATGAGGTAGAACTGTGAATTTTAGAATGGTAAAGGCCTGTAAATTAAGTGAAAGCAGAAAGTCATATTCATGTGAAAAGAAAATGAGTTATATTAATGTATATACCTGTACATATATTTTTACATATATAGTTACATATATACCTAAAAGCACACAACAGAAGACCTATAAATATACATCATAACTTGGTAGTGCTTACCTCTGGGGATGAGAGTAGGGAGGAATCAGGTAGTATTCAATGTTCTTCATTATTTGATTTTCCCCAAATGCATTCACTGATGTGCTACTTGTATAATATTTAAATCAATAAAAAAGGGACAATTTTTATGAAATCCTTCCCTCTATCTTGCAAGTGCTCCCGCTTCTCTGTAACAGCACTCTGAAAGACGGCTCCCATCCCATTATATCTGATTCTGGTGGGGTTTCCAATCACAGGACCCCCACCACCACCTGAGTCAAAGTCAGGGTGGACACGTGACCCAAGGGAGGCCAATCAGTTTATCTCCTCTAGGAACCTGAATTGAAGCAGAAACACGTGGAGACTGGAGGAATCTACAAATGAGTCATCCAAAGGTCAAATCTTAAACAGCCCATGTTTCTGAGGCTGTTAACAAGATTCTGAGGCTTCTATGCTTCTGAGCCCTGGTTTTTTAAATTCTTCTTTGATTTTCCTTCTAGTAAATTCCATTTTTAAAACAAAGCAAACAAAGAGAGTAACAAATTTATGGAAAACAATAAAGAATTCAGGATGGATCACACTGAGTCCATGTTTCCTATAAGGCAGTGGTTCTCAACCTTCTGGCCCTTTAAATACAGTTCCTCATGTTGTGACCCAACCATGAAATTATTTTCGTTGCTACTTCATAACTGTAATGTTGCTACTGTTATGAATTGTAATGTAAATATCTGATCTGCAGGATGGTCTTAGGCGAGCCCTGTGCAAGGATCGTTCGACTGCCAAAGGGGTCGCAACCCACAGGTGGAGAACCGCTGCTATAAGGCATTCATGTGCAAATGTGGGTTTGGAACTCAGAAGAGAACATGAACTGGCGGCTCAGATTTAAGAGCTATGAGAATTCCAGTCGAAGTCTGTGATCCAAGAGAAACAACAGAGTCAAGGACAGAACTATGGGAAACACCACCCCCTGAGGGTGGGGAAAGAATGTCAGACACTGTCATTTACTTGCACACAGTGGTTGTATCAGGTGAGGCCTGCCATACGCGGTCCACCTGAGACCTTGAACATAATTTCTTGTGCACCTACCGACTGGGCATGGTCTCATGGTTGCAATGTAACTGCACATGTATGATGCTTCGTCATTGTCACATAATATAAAGGCAGTGTAGCCAGGTGACAATAAGAAATCGGATGCAGGATAACATGCTAGATCCAGATAGTGTACGCGATGTAAGGACCTTCTGCAACCATTTAAAGCAGTGGTTCTCAACCTTCTGGCCCTTTAAATACAGTTCCTCATGTTGTGACCCAACCATAAAATTATTTTTGTTGCTACTTCATAACTGTCATGTTGCTACTGTTATGAATCGTAATGTAATATCTGATATGCAGGATGGTCTTAGGAGATCCCTGTGAAAGGGTCGTTCGACCGCCAAAGGGGTCGCGACCCACAGGTTGAGAACCTCTGATTTAAGGTAAAACAGCACATGAGTTTTTTAGTGACCCCTTCTCCCATCACCGTACAACCCACATTCCATGACAAGGAAATGGGGTTCTCCAGAGAAACAGGAGAGAACGTGAGGTTTCCCTTCGGAGGTCCCATCCAGGACACTTGGTATCTGTGGAAAAGGCCTCCGGCGCAGCAAAGCTCTCGCCACATTTTCTGCCAAAACACGGCCTATTAAATCAGAGGTCACAAACTGATGCTCACCAAACCCAGGCGTTCTCAATCTTAACTGCACGTTGGAATCACCTGACAATTAAAAAAACATGCCGATGACTCCTCCTGCTGCCCGAGATTCTGATTTAATTGGCCAGCGGTGTGACTTGGACTTTTAAAAGCGCCCCAGGTGATCCTACTGTGCAGCTATGGTTTAGATTTTTTTAAAAAAATTTTAAAAACAGTGGTTCTCAACCTTTTGGCCCTTTAAATACAGTTCCTCATGTTGTGACCCAACCATAAAATTATTTTCGTTTCTACTTCATAACTGTAATGTTGCTACTGTTATGAATTGTAATGTAAATATGTGATATGCAGGATGGTCTTAGGCGACCCCTGTGAAAGGGCCGTTCGACCGCCAAAGGGGTCGCGACCCACAGGTTGAGAACCGCTGGTTTAGAACCTCTGAATGAGGCATACATATGTTTTGTGTGGCCTGCATGACAGTAGCCTGTACAGCATATTTAAAATTTGAAACTATTTTCTAATAATTAAAAATTAGTCAATTTCATATATCCCCCTTCTCCCCCAAATCATGCAGATTGCAGGCTTCTGTTGGAATACCTGTGAACTGTAGGCCTGCATTCTCACTATTCAACTGTGCTGGGTTGCCATCACACCTGATATCAGCATTTTCTCTGCATTCCACCATCTTCCCCCACCCTTCGCACTATCACCACAGCACAGGGCCAGTGACAGTTGCTACTTATCATCCTGCTTGCATTGTGGGTTTTCCACATCAGTGTGAAGAGCAGTGAAACACTCGTGCTTATCACTGTGTCTCCAGCAGAGGCAGGAAAGCGAAAGGCAGTCCAAGAGGGCATGTGGCCAGAGGGCCTGCCACTCACTTCCGGGACCTGCCTGGCCCCTGCAGCATTTAGATGTGTGCCCTTGCTTTAAATCTAACTATGTTTTCCAACAGGAGCACCAAAATGCCTCAGAGCCTTCAGAGCAAAACTGCTGAGAAGTGAGAGCCCCACCTCTAATTATCTTAATAATTAGATGGCTCTCTAATACAAGAGAAAGCTGTATTAAAAACAGTGAGCATCAAATGGGCACGCAATGGCACCAGAGAGGGAGTTCCAGAATTAAGGAAATGCAGGAAGGTTGAAAACTTTGTACTAAGTATAAGGGACAGAGGGAGCTGAGCTGAACCTGACCTGTGAGGTATAGGAATGCCTAACCTGGAGAGTGAAAGAAAAGAGAAAAGGAAGACTGCAATCTTAGGGGTGGAGTACAGCCTTGCTCCCCAGGGAGCTGGTGACCAATTCAGCCGAGCTTAAGTCCATTTGAGAAGCCCCTTTGTAAGCCTGCCCAGCATTGGTATCTTCCTCATCTAGCCTCTGGGTCTGTGCATACAGTCCCCTCTACCTTGCTATCCTCTTCCTCCCTCCCCCTCCCTGACCTCCTCATGCTCCCAGTCAACTCCTCCTGTCTCAGGTCTCAGGGACTCATGCCCTCACCACCCCCAACTAGGAATTGGGCTACTCCTATGTGCTCCTTTTGCACCCTGTAATTACCCCATCAGAGCACTTATGTGGCTTTTGTAAATGCTTTTATAGTATCTCTTGCCTCACAAAAATCAACTCAAAATGAATTAAGGACATATACAAGACCTGAAATTAAAACTACTAGAAGAAAACACAGGAGAAAAGCTTCATGACACTGGTCCTGGCAATGATTTCTTGATTATGACACTAAAAAGCACAACAACAAAAGCAAAAATAGACAAATGGAGCTACATCAAACTAAAAAGCTTCTGCACAGCAAAGGAAACAATCAATGGAGTGAAAAGACAACCTATGGAATGGGAGAAAATACTTGCAAATCATATGTCTGCTAAGGGGCTATTATACAAAATGTTAATATCTAAGAAACTCCTACAACTCAATAGCAAAAAAAACAACAACAACAACAACAAATAACCCAATTTAAAAATAGGCAAAAGATCTGAATAGACATTTCTCCAAAAAAGACATACAGACAGCCAATAGATATGTGAAAAAATACTCAACTAATCATCAGGGAAATGCAAATCAAAACCACTATGAAATATCACCTCAAACCTGTTAGGATGGCTATTATCACAAAGTCAAAAGATAACAAATGTTGATGAGGATATAGAGAAAAGGGAACCCTTGTGCACTACTGATGAAATGCAAAATGATACAGCCTCTATGAAAAACAGTACAGAGCTTCCTTAAAAAATTAAAAGAATTTCCACATGATCCAGCAACCCCACTTCTGGACATATACACAAAAAAAATTGAAATCATGATCTTGAAAAGATATCTGCACTTCCATGTTTATTGCAGCATTAGTCACAATAGCCAAGATATGGAAACAACCTAAACATCCGTTGACAGATAAAGAAAATGTAGTATATAAACACAATAGAACACTATTCCGCCTTTTAAAAGAAGGAAATCCTGTTGTATGTGACAACATGGTGTACCTAAAGGGAATTATGCTAAGTTTATAAATCAGTCACAGAAGGACAAATGCAGCATGATTCCATTTATATGAGGCCTCTAACATAGTCAAACCCTTAGAAATAGGTGGCTGCCAGGAGCTGGGGGGAGGGGGAAATGGGGAGCTGCTGTTCAATGGGTACACGGTCTAGTTTCAGTTACGAAAGAGCCTCAGAAGGAAGCCCGACTCCTGAAACCTAATCTCAGATGTGACATGCCATCACTTCTGCCACATCTGTTCGTCACACAGACCAGCCCTGGTACAGTGTGGAAGGAGACTACACAGGGGTGTGACTACCAGGGGTGAGGCCATTTGGGGCTGGCTACTACACTTTCTCTCCCTCTTCCTTGCTTTATTTTCCTCCATGCCACCTATGAACAACTAACATTACTTAACTTATTTTGTTGATCCTGTCTCCCCACAATAGAATGTAAGAAGGATTTTTTAATTTTTTTTGCCTGTTTTGTTCCCTGTTGTATCATCAGCACCTAGATCGGTGCCTGGCACAGAGTAGGGTTTCATTAAGTGTTAAATGGTGAACAACGACCCACCCAGCTGCAGTATTTCTATAAGAAACTCGCCAGAGTTCCCACTCAGAATATCGTAGCTCCTAAGTACCGCCCCCACTTTAAAAAAAAAATTCTTGTATTTGATTCTCACAATCTATGAGGAAAACAGGACAGCATTTTTACGCCCCACTCTGTTCATGAAGAAACTGAAATCCAGGAAGATTAAGGGCCTTCCTATCCATGGTGAGCAAATGGTACTAGTGGGTCTAGGCAGGTTCCCCTGCCCTTGCCCAGTGCATCCCTCTTCCAGGGCCTCCCTACTGCACCGTGCAGCCTGAAGCATCACTGACGGGTCACAAGCCACACAGAAGAGGTCACTAACAGCTCACGAAGCTTCCCTAATGGATAGCTCATGCTGGTTCACACAACTTTCACTGGGGCCAGCACGGCCCTGCTGGGTGAAGGGGAGCTGAGAAGCCTGCAGCCAAGGCCCAGGGGAGTGCTCTGACGCGATTCTCCTCTGTCCGAAGGCAGGCTCCCTTCGCTCTGCGGGAGGTCCAGTCCAGGGCTCCAGTCCAGGCTGCCTCAGCTGGGTTCTCATGAGCAGGAATGGGGAGCAACGGTCCGCATGGACAGCAAGCAGAGGGCTGTGCCACCGTAGGCTGAACCAGCTCTGAACCAACCCCCCTCCTCAATAGAAAGCAAACTGCTGCTAATTTAGAAGCTTAAAAAACAACAATGAAACCCCTTTCCCAGTCCCAGCCTCCCCCCACACACACAGGCACCCTCTGATGGACAATGGAGTCCCAGGGAGGGATCTAGGTTGGTCTTAATGTGCTTTCCTAGGTAATCCCATTGTCTCCTTCAGGGAAGAGGTCCAGAGACCACATCAGCTCCTTCCCCCTTAGCCCCTGCTGAGGCAGAAAGTACTTTAACACGCATATAACTTCAATTCAGTTGATCAACAAGCTCTCCTCTGAAAATCAGCAGAAGGATAGCAACAAAGATGCCAGTTACACTTTGATAGGGAAGCCCCAACCCTATACCCTGGCACTTGTGATTCCCTAAGGCAGAGGAGAGAAGTCAGGTGGGCCCTGGGTCCTAGCAGAAAGCAGTGTAGGGGGTTGACAACTGCATCAGGTGAGGGAGAGAGAAGAAAGCTGGCACACTGTGATGGCCAAAGGGAAAGGAAGGTAACCCTACCTTCCTGTCTTCACCTAACTTTATAAAAACCACTCACTCCTCTGCCCTGCTGGTAGTGGGGAGGGGAGGTGCCCAGATCAGCTGCAGGGACCTGGATTCTCAGTGATCGGAACCAGCCAGCAGTCCCCTAAAGCACAGACCCCGCTGTCTATGATCCTCCCAGGCCACAGGTGCACGGCCAGCCATGAGGCCAGGGTGTGGCTACTTGAGTTTGCTATTATCCGTGTTTTGCACATATAATTTCACTTAATCCTCAGGCCAACCCCTGAGGTAAAAGTGTATTTGCTTGGTTTTACAGATGAAAATACTGAAACTCAGGTTAAAAACCAGACCAAGGACACACAGCAAGGGGCAGAGCAGTGATTTGAACACTATTAACAACATTTAAATAAAACTTGGGAATAAGGCAAAAATATGACTTTTGGGTATTTAATTCAATTATACTACAAAAGTAGTTCTTAACTGGGGGCAATCCCCCAGCCCCAGCCCCAGCCCCAAAGGACATTTGGCAACATCAGAAGCCTTTCTAAGTGTCAAAAACTGAATGGGGGAGCAGATCCTGCTGCCATCTAGTGGATAGAGGCCAGGGCTGCTGCTGAACATCTTATGCGTGCGACAGCCCCCACAACAAAGAATCAAGATTGTCCAGGCCATGCCCTGACTGGGTGGCTCAGATGGTTGGATCACCATACTGTAGGCCAGACGTTGCAGGTTTAATTCTCAGGACACATACCTAGGTTGTGGGTTTGATCCTGGTCGGGGCGCATATGACCCCATTTAACATCAATGACCTCTTTAAACCTCTATCTCCAAATACAGTCACATTCTGAAGTACTACTTGAGGTTAGGATTTCATCATAAGAATTTTGGGGGAGCATAATTCAGCCCATAACATCTCTGTAATTAATTCATCTTTGACACATGCTCAGCATATATTTGTATGAGAAGTATGTCAACTTTTTGAAAATTGTGCTTTGCAAATACATTTGTCTGAGTCCACAAAGTCTACCTGTTTTTACTACAGCAGGCTGTTTGCTTGAGGGCTATTGGCATATTAACACCAATTCAACGAGAAAAATTACTCTCTGAAGCAGTGGTTCTCAACCTTCTGGCCCTTTAAATACAGTTCCTCATGTTGTGACCCAACCATAAAATTATTTTCGCTGCTACTTCATAACTGTAATGTTGCTACTGTTATGAATCATAATGTAAATATCTGATATGCAGGATGGTCTTAGGCGACCCCTGTGAAAGGGTCGTTCAACCGCCAAAGGGGTCACGACCCACAGGTTGAGAACCGCTGCTCTAGAGGGCTATGTCGGATACATGCTTTTTTTCTCTTGTCCTCTCAACCAGTGAGAATCCTTTGCCTGAAGCTTTCTTAATCTGTCAGATCAAGGATCAAACACAATCACACATGGCCCCAAGGGACCCTGTAGGGAACCTTTCTCAGCAAATAGATCCAAGCCCCTTTTTTTTCTGGCCACTGAAAGTTTCAATAATCAGCACAGTATTTAAATAATGCCCGTTTCATGTTTGTTGTCAAAAACATTTTGTAATTATTGATCAATTAATTTCACTATCTTCTTAACTTAATCTATATTAAGGTCAAGATCATGTTATCAAATTATATTCCAGAGCTGGGATTTATATTCTGGTCCTGCAATCAGTCTCCTAGGACACACTGCAATTTCTCCTCCCTCGTTATAGAAAAATTTGCCCTTAGCAAATGTCAGAGAACATCCCCAGCAATTTCTCGTATCAATCAATCCAAGCAAATATAATGGGCTTGCTTTTCCCCAGAGCTGAAGTCACCTCCTGGCAGGAAGTTAAGTGATGGGCTCTGAGTCAGAGCACTGAGCTGAAGCCCAGAGCCACGCAAGAATGAGAATTTGGAGACTTAAGTTTTCATAATTTATGATGAACTGGGGATAGTACTCATTTTTGGTATCCTGGCAAGTTTTACCATCTTCCTTCATCTGGTAATATGCCTCCGCTCCTCGCCCCCTCCTCACCCCCTCCAACCGACCAATCATGTTACCCCTTAGCAATAGTGATTGCTCCAAGGGGTGGGCATATGATCACAGAGCCAATTAGAGCTCTTCCCTGGGACTGATCTACTGAAACTAGGGGAAATTATCGTTTCTTAAGACTGCAGGGTAAGAGCACAGGACTAGAAATCAGGCCTGGGTTCTAGTCCCATTTTGATCATGGGCACATCATTTAAATTCTCTGAACCTCCATTTCTTCATCTGAAATTAGGTGCAGATCAGAGAGAACTGTATTAGCAATTGCTTCACCACCCCCAGCCACCCCCTCACACAAGTATACAACACTTTCTTTTGGCCCCAAAAGAATGCATTTCTACAACAACTTTGGCTTTATTTTCCAACAAGACAGACACTTTAAGGTTTGCTGTGGGAAATGAGAAGAAATGCTAGCCCAAAGCGGGGCTCCTTGGATGCTGCCACCACCTGTACTGCTCTCTTCCCCCCAACCCTCCCCAAGACCCTGTAGGAGAAGGCAATGAGAAGAAATGCTAGCCCAAAGCGGGGCTCCTTGGGCTGCTCTCTTCCCCCCAATCCTCCCCAAGACCCTGTAAGAGAAGGTTCTTCTAGCTGTCATCTAACTCTTCAACCCTCAATGTGCTCTCAGATGGAAGAACTGCAGTGACACCATTGGACATTGTGCTGTATCAAATAAATGTGCACAGTTGGAGGATGTCTGCCATATAATTTTAGAAACCTGTGGGAGCTAGATTAAATTAAGCTGATGACCAGACCAAGTCGTCAGGCTGGGCCATTCTCATTCCCTCATCTAATCAAAACTCAGCCAGATAATTCTAGTCCTGCGTGACAGAGAATTCAGGAGAAAGTATCTAGGCCACTAAGTTCCCGGAGAGCAAAACACAGATTTGTGTTTATTTTCTTCACCACCACATCTCCAGCATTAGAACCGTGTGTAGGCTCCAATAAATACTTGACTGAATAAACTCTGACAGCCTGAGAGTGTCAGTGATTAGGCCAAGTTTGCCCAAACAGGGTCAGAGTTGAGCCTAGACCTCAGGGACAGAGGAAGAGAAGAGAATAAATAATAATTGTTGAGGTCTTACTATGTGCCAGATGTTATTACCATAAAAATTAGACAGTATTTTACTTAATTCTTTCAACACTATGTGGTAGGTACCACTATGATCCCCGCTCTACAGATAAAGCTTACCTAGCAGGTCACAGAGCAGGGGTATTGATCCACTCATTTGGCAAATAGTTATTGAGCACCTGCTATCTCCCCAGCACCATGTCTAACACGGGGGATACCATGGTGAACAGGATAGACATGGAGCTTATACTCTAGTGTGGGAGACATTGAGTCAGCAGGTAAAACACAAACAACAGAGCCTGGCCGGTGTGGCTCAGTGGTTGAGCATCGATCTATGAACCACAAGGTCACAATTTCTGGTCAGGGCACATGCCCAGGTTGTAGGCTTGACCCCCAGTGGGAAGGGTGCAGGAGGCAGCTGATCAATAACTCTCTCTCATCATTGTTATTTCTCTCTCTCTTCCTTCCTCTCTGAAATCAATAAAAACATGCTTAAAAACAAACCAAAAAACCCTTACAATTACCTTACAAGTTGCAGAAACACAGAGGGTGCCTAAGACACATTTGTGGAGACAGAGGGGTTGGTTTCAGGAAAGACATGGCTGGAGGACGTCTTATTGACATTGGAGTTACTAGAGCAGTGGTTCTAAACCTTCTGGCCCTTTAAATACAGTTCCTCATGTTGTGACCCAACCATAAAATTATTTTTGTTGCTACTTCATAACTGTAATGTTCCTACTGTTATGAATTGTAATGTAAATATCTGATATGCAGGATGGTCTTAGGCGACCCCTGTGAAAGGGTCTTTCGACCGCCAGAGGGGTCGCGACCCACAGGTTGAGAACCACTGTACTAGAGGATGAGGAGGAGGCAGCCATGTGTTCCCGTTGTTGTGGCTGTGAAACAGATTCCCCAAACACATACAGTACTGGCTTAAACTCAAGCCAGCACCTCTTATGCTCACAAATCCTTGGGGTCTGGAATCCAGGCAGGGCACAGCAGTGGCAGTTTGTGGCCTCAGCTGTAAGACTCCAAGGCGGGGGCTGGACTCACCTGGAGACCAGTTTGCTCACATGTCTAGTGGCTGATGCTGGCAGTTGGCTGGAGGCCTCGGTTCCTGTGTCATCTCTCTGCTTGGGTAGTTTGGATTTCCTCAAACTATGATGACTGCTCCCCAGAGTGAGACTCCCCCCAAAACTACATCCTTTTAATGACCTAGAATTTATATTCCTTTGCAATATACAACCTAAAAAAAAAAATTCTTTTAAAATTCTATAACAACTTAATAGTGTGCACTTGTTAGGGTCCAGGGCCTGTGCAACAAAACATCGCATGGATGAATTCATTTTATCCTTACAACCCTATGCAGTAGAAACTTTTATCAACCCCATTTTACAGATGAAGCACAGAGGTTAATGAAGTGCACACTGGTCACACAGCTGGCAAGGGTGCAGGGTCCGGATTTAAACCAGGCGGCCCATGTCTGTAACCTATACCGGCCGCCAAGCAGCTTTCAGACCTGCACCTGCCCCGTTCCCAGCCAGACTGCAGCTCCCACATCCCTCCGGGTAGACTGTCTGCAGCAACGGGTCACCAGGCCAAGGTCTCCGCGCTCGGGAGCCTTAGTCACTCGTTCACTACGTTGTCCAAGAGGGTCTCTCCGTTTTTGTTAAATACACGAGAAGTGCAACGCTGGGAAGTTCTTCCCGATGTCTAACCTCTGACCGGGTGACACAGCCTACGCGGGAGCCCTTGAGCGCGGCGCCCGAAC